AGCAGTACTTTGCCTTGACCTGTGCACGGGTTTCAGTGGTAGAGGGTTCATGCTTTGATAGGGACTTTGCAACAGGTCTCAGGGTTCTCAGGAAAGCCTTCTCTTCTTGATTACTTCTTAGGCATCCTAGTCTTCCTACAGTGTCCTTTTGCCCTTCTTAGGACTTTGACTTTTTTTGTCAGGTCTTTTGACATTTATAAGTTGAATGGTGTGTTCAGTTTTGAACCTTTAGCTGACTCTCAGATCTGTCATCTCAAATACCATCTCTAAGATATTCACATTTTTATTCTATAGAGCATGACAAGACAGTGTTGATTTGAATTGACAAAACCTCTACACAGTGTTGTTTGTTTCAAACTTCTTAGAGATGTAGCAGTACTCAGTTACCTGTTTGATCTCATTTATCTTTTCAGTATAGCTAAGAAAAACTGTCAGCTTTAAACTTGCTTGGGAGTGTATCTTTTGCTTACCTTCCCTCCCTGATCTACAATTCCATGTTAATGTCTTATATCTATAGCTTCAGGAAACAAGAGTAATCCTTCTCTCTCCTTCTTTGTATTGCTTTGTGAGTCGAGTAACGTAAGATTTCCAGAAGTGTGGCTGTAACAATAACAGGGAACTGAATGGCCGTGCGCCAGCTAGCGTAACTTTGCAGCAGCCCACATCACCAAGGCTTAAACACTTCTAATAAATAAACACTTCTAATATATTTCAACCAGACGCTAAGCTTTTTTTTTTTTTTTTTTTTTCCAATTAGATTTAACTTTCTTATATGTGTGATGTGATGTACACAACATTTGTATTGCTTTCTTGTTGTGAAGCAGCCACTTACAATCAGTGTGCTGGCACTCAGTGTGCTGTAAATTGTGAGGTTATTTAAGAGGACCAAATGGCAAGAGTGAATGTTACCTTCCTTTCCACTGGCTCTGCTTAAACATAACGCTCTTTTTCTCCCTCAAAAACATACGTAAAGGTATGTATAGTATGTTAGCCCCTCCTTAGCCTTTCCCACCCTGAAAATTTTCAAACAGGGATGGCATGTTCCTCTCTTCACTGCCAAAAAAAAAAAAAAATTCCTTTCACAGCATTTTCCCCTCCCCCCATTTCTTCCCAGCTGACAGCTGTGAGTGTAATTTTCAGGAGCTATCCTATCCAATTCCCCTGATTCTGTTTTTGAGTTGGATTTGGTTTAAACATGCAAGTCATCTTTCACACTGCAGGGCTTTTTTAAACATAGCAATGAAGTGGCTTTGCCAATGCCAATGCTTAGTGTAGGTAGAGACACAGCAAATTTGTTTTTAATGTATGTGTTTAGAAAAAAAATAATTCCCCCTTCCCGTCAATTTAGAAAGTTGTCAGAGAATCAAGTTGAATAATGCAGTCATCTCACAAGTGACAGGAAGGCCAAAGTTTCATAATAATAAAGCTTTTTTTTTTCGAGATTATTTCCTTATAATTCAAACAATCTATTTAATTTTCAAACTAATTCAAACCAAACAAAAACTCCTATTAACAAATGGAAGGATCATATTCAAAATGTAGTGAGAAAATCAAAATAATGTAATTGAATAAACCTGTTGAACTTCATGGTTGCTTTTCAGCCGTGCAAGGCTGAAAAAAAATCTCCACAAAGTGGTGGCAATTTTTCAGTTGATTAGTTTGTACTTTGATCAGACTGTAAGGTTATAGCTAGCTCAAACATAAACATGTACAGCAGCTCAGGTTTTACAAGAAGACAGTTTTCGGTCCTCACTGCCATTAGGCTGTATGCAAAGGAATGTGAGACAGGTAGTTGTACTTTAGTTGATTTTACAAGGCCAGAGGAAATGCATAAAGATGTGTGCAGTTGTCTCTGAGGAATCTGAACACACAATTATAATTAAATTGTTGAGGTAATAAGAAGGTTAGCTGGTTATTTTTTCCTCAGATGATTAGAGTTGCATGTCTGTATTTTGAAGATACCAGGTTTGCCAGTGCTAAAAGAAGACTGATGGATTAATTAGTTATGAAATTCATGAATTTCCTGAATTCATAAAATCACATGATTTTTGGAAACTATGTTCAGGATGCCTTGAGTCTACTTGCTGCAAGCCTTTTATTGAACTTTATGTTACTGGAGTATACCTACTGAAGTACGGCAGTAGGGATTTAAGTGATAAAAACCATGTATATAGTAGACAGAGATGTAAGTGGTGTTAATTTTCTTGTCACCTGAAGGATGTACAGTCTTGGATCATTGGATGTTAAGTGTAATTTACTTTATTCTTTACACTTCCCCATTGACTAGAAGGAGTCAGTAATCTGTGACAAAATGGCAAAGAAGAGGAAAGCTGTTTTGCTGCTGGTAGGTTATACAGACAATTTTGGACTATAATAATAATAAGTATATTGTGCTTAAGAGCCAAGTGCTTTCAGAGGAGTGGTGTGTTGCAAACGGACATGCCTAACTTGCCAGTAGTTTTAAACTGAGAACTTTGCACAACTCAGTTTTAGAAAACTTGCAGTTTTCTCTGTCCTCCCCCATATGTTTGCATGCACACCTGCAGTGTTCCTGGTCATTAGAATTCTAGTACCTCTGCAGAAGGAAGCACATCAGACCTCTGCCTTGTAGCCTTGCTTGACAACATACAACTGTTTTGTAACTTCTTTTAATAAGAGAACATTTTGTTTTGTGGAGACATGATGGCTGGCACATGAACAGCACCTAAAATGCCTGCTGCCAATTTGTTGTTTGTTACTTGGTTTATTAATTAAGTTACACAAAAGATTTGGAAAAAGACCAACAGTTGTTTTTTGTTTCTTTTTTGTCCCATATTTTGGACTGCCTAGCCAAAGGAGAACAATTGCTGGTGCAGGGATGCATGAAAGTCCCCAAAGGAGGTTAGCTCTGTTCTTTCACTAAATTAGACTGAAGCCATACACCTTCACTGTTGTCGTAAATTTTAGTCGAGATATCCCGTTGGTCTATTCACTGAACTCTGTATAGATCTGATCAGAGTACACCAGTGCTAAAAACTTCTATTGGCTTTAAAAGCAATCAAAAGCCACACAGTTTTGAGCCAGAAAATAATTTCCTAAAAGTGAAAACATGTTTGAAATTGAAACTTCAGTTCACTGAAGTTGGCTCACTGAGTTCTTTTCCCATTTCTACAACCTTTACCTTCCTTTTCTTGCTTTTAGTTTTTTTCTTAAGTTACATAAATAAACCATAGTGTTTCATGTGGTTTCTTGCTGGCTTAATTACGTAACATAAAATGTACTGTCTAGATACAATCATTTTTCTTTTCATTTGCCTGTTTCTAATATTTTTTTCAAAAAGTAATTTTTTAATACCAAAATTCAGTTGGCACGTCAGATACAATGTGCAGAACAGATTTTTAATGGCTGGAAGTTGGTGTAGTTACATGTCCTGCAAGAGATAAAAATTTGTATAGAAATGATGGTTTGGCCTAGTATATCCTTCCTACGGGATATTTTTGCCAGAGGAAGTAACTTTTCTCTAGAAATTTATGTAGTGGATCAGGCTGGGATTCAGCTGAACTCAGCAAAGTGTCTGGAAAGACCTCCGGTCAGCCTCCTTTAAGGCACCTTTGGATTATGAATTAGTTAGTAGTCTTCCTGTAGAAAGTTTCCTCTTATAATCATTCTGTGGGCTAAAGTGTGAAATAGTTTGCTCTGTTTGTGCATCTTCTTTTTACCCACACTAAGAGAAGCTTCTCAGTGCCATCAGTTTGGGCCTTGGCAGTTCAACCTGCAGTGCAGAACACGTTTCTGTGGAAGCCTCTAGAGCATCTCTGCCAGTCTGTCCTTCTAAGAGGCTTTTGCATGGAGAACTCATTTTTCGTTATTGATTTCAATGGAAATATGCACATTCTTCAGATCTAGCTGAAGTCAAGGGTTTTGGTGTTCCTAACTTCTGCGGTCTGTTGACAGGAATGTCAAAAATTGAAAGGCTGAAGTCAGGGTCTGGAACCTGAGATCCTTGTATCCATCGATTTACATAGTTAAAAATGGCACGAGATAAACAGTTAGCTGGCAGTGTGCTTGATCAAGGTCAGGCATTGCTGTGGCTCGCAGGAGGTGCTGGCCAAGCAGCTCTGTGCCGTGAGCCGCTCTGCCGTTCAGCAAGGAGCTGGGAGGAAGCAGCAGCCATTTCCACAGCACGCAGCAGGGGCTGCGAGATAAGGTTTTTTTGCACAAAAACCCTCGTGCATACACACCTTTGTGGAGCCGTTCCTAACGCTCCTAACAGGTTATCCCAGATCTTTAAGCTTTTGTGATTACGATGAGATCCAGCTCCTTGTAAGCCGTACCTCAGAGCCGCACACAAAGCTCAGGGACGCAGAACATCGCACAGCACTCAGCACAAGGCTGGTGCCTGGCCTTGGGTGCAGATGGGGCTGGCTCCCATCCCGCAGCGTGCCTCGCTTGACCTTCTCTAGGCCTCAGTGCTGCATTCCTCTCCAAGAGGTTCGTGTGGGGCAGCGCTGAGCTCGAGGAAAACTTTTTATTCCTCCATCTTGAGGTCAATTACGTTCGGGACAACAAAACGTGAACACTTCGTTGTGATTTTTTATTATTATTATTATTTTATTTTACTTAGTGGCTACTGAGAACGACTCCCACCGGGCCCTTCCGCCTCTTCGCCCTCCCCCCCCCTCTCCCCTCAGCGCTCCCGCCCCGGCCCTTCCCGCCGCGTCCGCTTCCTCCCGTCCGCCGCGCGGGGCGGCAGCGCGCATGCGCCGCGCTCCTCATCCCGCCCGCGCCGTCCCCCCGCCCCGGCTCCCCCCGCCCTTCGCGCACATCCGGGTCCCGGCGCTGGCCCCGCCGGCGCCGCCGCGCCGCTGTCCCCTCCGCGGGTGCCGCATAAAGTTTTGTTGAGAGCGGGCGGCCGAGGCCCAACCGCCGCCTCCAGCTTTAACGGACGGAGGCCGGGAGGCCGCCTCGCTCCGCGTCGGGTGGGTCGGGGCGCCCCGAGGGCAGCCCGTGGGGGGGGGCAGCGGCGCGGCCGGGCTTGTGGTGAGGCGGGGGGAAACCGCGGGCCGCTGGGAAACTTTCTTCCTCTTTCCGTTCCCTCCGGCGGGCGGTGGGGGCCCTCCCGGGTGCGCGGGGCCGCTGAGGGGATCGCGCTGACAGCGGGGGGCGGGCGGGCCGGGTTGGAGGCGGGCGGGGGGAGATGGGGCGGCCCTGCTGTGTGCCTGAATGGAGAAAGGCGCTGCTGCAGTGCTAATGAGAGGATGGGCTGTTCTGGTGTTTGTTTCTTTTTTAAGTATATGAGGAACTTTGCTTTTAAATGGTCTTAAACTCCGGAGAAATGAATGCGTGGAGTGGTAAATCCCCGTGCTCCAAGCACTTTGGTTAAGAGGCGCTTTCTTGCAGGCACTTTCTTGCAGCTCACTTTTCCAGCCCGGTTCGGCCTGTGCTGACAGCTGCTTGGCAACAGATGGATGAAGAAGGGCAAGTTTTGTTTTCTGGGGACTGTAAAGTTAATGGGAGGAAATACGGTCTTGCGGTTAAAGCACAAGACTGGGAATCAAGTGATCAGTGTCCTCTCAATGGAGTTTCTGATAGGAGTTTGAGCAAATCCAGTGAGCCTCAGGAAAATGAGAACGGATTTCCCACAGGCTCAGTGATAGTTGGTGAATCTCTCGGTGGAATCTGTGGGTTTATAGATGGTATTCAGTGAGTGATGGGAGCGCTCCGCTATAACAAAAAGTGTGAGGGATAACTGTCAGCATGAGCATTAAGATGTAAGTTTTGGGTTGGGAAATGAGATTGTCAGCGTGTGGTGGCTTTAGATGAAATCTGTGTTAATTTTCAGGTAATTTATCTGCCGTGTGTGGCTTTGAAGTTGTGAGGAATGAGACTGCATTGTGCGCTGCACTTCTCGATGGTGGGAGTTGTGCACAGAGCGTCCTTCCAATGCTCTGAGCAATCAGAATCTGATTGAAGAGGAAGGATAGAATGGTGCAGATGTTTCACTGTCACGTGCCCGTGCTCTTCAAAAGCTGTAATACTTTATGAAGTTGGCAGCTGTTGGTACTGGAAGTTAATAGAAGAAGCAAATAACTTAATTGAAGATGTTTCATAATTAGTGTGTGTTGTAACTTCTGAGTGCTCTGTGTAGGGTGTTGCTGAATTTAATGTCTTAATCCCTACTGTTTGATAGTGGTTTACTCTTACATCTGATATTTAAATTTTGTTCCCTTGGCCTTGAAATTGCTGGTAAGCGCTTAATGGCACTTATTTTTGAAAACAAAATCACAGCAAACCTTGTTCTTGCTGGGGTTCATGTCCCCAGAACTTTATTTTCCTTTAAAATACGGAGAAAATAACACTTGAGGGAGGAATGTTCTTGTTGTTTTGTTCTTTTTTTTCCAAGAAAGAATTTCCTAGTAGAAGCCCAGGAGGTGCACAAGATGGGCAGTTGTGGTAGGGGTGAGAAATAGAAAAAGAGGATGAGTGGCTTCCTTCGCATTTCTCTCTCTCTTGATCACAAAAGGTCACAGCAAAAGGGTGTGCAGCGATTATGCTGCATGCAGCTGCAGTGAGTCCTTTCAATTGGAGGTTCAGAGTTTTAACCTGTGATGAACCTGAAGGAATTGTAGCTTTGGGCCCTATGCTTCTTGGTTCTTGTGATGAAGTCCAATTCTTCATCTTGCAGCTTGAGTAGATAATCTCTTTAGGAAAGTTTTCAGGATGGTATAGCATTATCTGAGCTGGAAGAAATTCCATCTCTCAAGATAGCGTGCTAATGCACTATTAAGTGTAGTTTATATTTCTGTAGTTTGTCTAATGGCCTTTGAAAATTATGCAGCGATCTGTAATGCTCCAGAGGACACTTTTAATTTCAGTAGGATGTTCTCTGTATTCTGTTTATGGCTCTCTAGAGAAAACTCTTAAAAATCCTTTGTTGCCTTTGCCAAACTATGTACCTGCAGCCATATTGCTGTGGCAATTCAATACAAGTCTGTATTCCTTCCTTTGCTGCCAGTTAAATGCTTCATGTTGATTCAAACACATTTCTTTTAATGTCTCTGCTGGCTTCGTTAAAATCAGTTTGAATGTGGGTTTTTTTTTCTTGAAAGGTCTTGAGATAACTTTTTATAGTGGCAGGTTTGTTTTGTTGAAGTAAGGAGAGCAGAATTAAGAGATATTTGTTCTCATGTTAGCTGAGAACACTTGAGGTGTTTCATGACTAACATTGATAAACAACTCATTACAAACAAGTTGAACAGTAGCTGAGAACTTTAGCAGTTATCATTAGTCACAGTGCAAGTTCCTGTGCTGTTCTCTGGAAGCCTTTTCAGCGGTGCTCCTGTGACCACGTAGAAAAGTTTGGCTGGCACTTCAGTGTGTTTGACCAGTGTGGGTTGGCAAGGTGCAGGACGCCATCTGCCAAGTCTGTATCCCTGCTGACCTACCACCAAGGCTGCGCCTGCCAGGACTGTCATCCTTGACAGAGGATCTTTGTCAGAATTGCTGCTACTGATCCACCAACTATGAGGTAGTGTCTCTGAATTCTGGGTCAGTGGATGTCACAAACTGACAAATTTAGAATACTTCGCCATTCATTCATTCTGTGCAAGGGGAGGAAAAAAAAGCTTGCTGAATTACTATTGTCAGTGTCCCCTCCAAATCCTGTAGCTTTTGTAAACTTGTCACAATCTTAATGCAATTCAGTTGGAATGGAAGTGTATACACACACGCATACAACTTTATTTTTTTCCCATCTTTTAAAGCTTTATGAATGTCCGTAGCCCCTGCTTTCAGGTTACACTTTTTGTTGGCAATTCACGTATTTAGTGGTATTGTTTAGGATTTTATTCTTTAATGAAGATTTTTACATGAGCAGCTGAATTTTTTGTAAAGCTTTGTTAATTTCTTCATGTATTTTAGGGCGTTTGGAAGGTATGTCCATGGATATGCCCATAAGTATGTTCAATTTTTCCCACTTTTTTTTTTCCCAGATGGAGTATTGAGTCCATTTTAAACATTGTTTGCTTGGCCTTGTCTACCAATAGTGGCATAAGTTTTTGTTGTCACATGTAGTGAAATTTAATCACATCCTTGTATGTGAATTTAATTGAGAAAGGGATGCCAGCTTGTAGTTATCTGCAGTGGTTACAGTAGATGCTGAATATCCTTAAAAATAGGAGGCAGTGTGAGGGCTTGACTGTCAGAAGTGCTTCCTATGATAGATGATGATGTTTTTCAGCATAATGCTTCTGTTGGAAAATGCCAATTAGCTGAGAGAGCAAATGTTTCTAGTGAAATACTTAGGAAAAAAAAAAAAAGGGGGGATTCTGGTTCTCAGATTGAATTTGTAGCTTTTGAGAACTACAAAGTCGTGTAAGTAGAGCAGTTTCAGACACCAGGCCCATGTGAGCATGTGATTTTTCTCTTCTAAATGAATGTGTTAAGAAATAGGAACTTTTTTCAGTCTTGGAAAGGCGTTTTTTTTTTTTCTCCCTCTGACTCCCCCACTCTGTATCACTCTTTAACTATTTTTGTTGTGGTACAAAATGAGTTTTCAACTTTCTGTTCTTTGGTCGTGTTTACTCCTGTGGTTTCCTTGGCATCATTTGGAAATGGAGGTGCCTTTGAAATGCAGTGGGGTTCAAGTGAGTTCTTTGTGATTGGACCTCTTTTGTGATACAGATCGTTATCACTTGTTCTACTTTATTTTTTTTCAGTGAGTTGTAAGAAGACTCCTAAGAAAAACCAAAATCATCACCTTTGTTATCTGAGCTGTATGGCTTTTATGATATCAGTTCTGTACATTGCATTCATTACTTGCATCTTGGGCTTGGCCTCACCATTTTTGTTTCTTTAAAGAGTGCTGGTTAAATACTTCTCAGCTGACAAGTGTTACATGCTTCATTTTTTTTTTAAGCTGTGCTAGATGCTGTACAGATGTGGAAATGAACAAGTACTGTGTGAGAAAGCCATGTCTGAAATTGTTAATGCATTTTTTTGTTTGGGGAGCCAGTCACAGTTAATAAAATTTTTGAAGATATCAGACAATTCTTTTCTGGTCTTGTTTATATGTATTGTTAGTTAGAATATGTTGCCTTACAAGGCATATTTAAAGCAAAGAAGTCTTGTGCTAGTATAAAAGCAGCAATGTTTCAGTCAACTGGATGTCCCCTTAGATACACAAGTCCAGTTGTGGTGGAAATACCACAAGTTCCTTATTGGTATCCTCCAAAAAATCTCTTTTCATCTTTTACTTACCCCAGGGGAGGTGAATTAAACAAATCGTTGATAATATTCTTAATGAGTAAGGTGTCACATAGGGTAATTAAAGGAAAATATTTTGTGTTCCAAAGCTGTGGTGATGGTTGGGAATTATTGCCCAAGTTCTTAAGTGTGACCTGAGGATTAATTTTAACCTCAGTATGCAGGGAAAAAATATGGAGCTAGTGCTTATACCATTTTTGTCTTCAAGAAAGGACTAATTTAATGCCATTGCATTTAAAAGGAAAAAAAAAGGATCTGTCTGAAACCAGGTAGATGTACCATGTGGTAATTTTAGAGAGTTGTAGAAATGTACTCATGGCTGAATATATTGTAACAAGCTGTGATACAGTGTAATTGAGTATTTTGAGTTTCTCTTCCTGCATGTGGGGTGTTAGTATGTGTATGGAGTTCAAATACTGAAGCGTATCAAGTTTGAAGGGGTAATTGGGTTAGGCACAAACTGACTGCAAAACAGTTTGAACTGGCATATCTGAAGCAATTCTAATAAACTACCAATTGTGGGACTGGTTAGAAGGGCTGGTTTGTTTATGTTATGAAATTGAGTCTCCAAGCAGTTTCTAATCATGTGCAGTGAAGTTCAGGTTTCAGACTGAGTATGATGCTACAGGAAGCTTTCTTAATTTGCAAACAAGTAAATTAGGCAGGAAAAGAATAACATTTGTGCACTTGAAATGCACGCTTAGTACTGACAGTAGGAAGGGAAGATATTGTAGTTGTTAACCAATTTATGCTTCTTATGGGGTGATGGACTACTTGATTAATAGTACTTAAAATTCAGATCTTGCAGGTAGGAAATTCTGTGCTTGGAATAGGAGGCAGTAGTCTAAGAGATGCTCAGAAGAACTACCAGTATTTGTGAGTTGTGCTGTTAACTTGCTTTGTTTGTAATTAGTTGGTTTGATGAGGCATTAAGAAAGGATTCACACAACTAGTTCCCTTCCGTTTGCTCTGTTCTTTAGTAGGAAGTATCAGTAATGTCTGACACAAAGTCTTACTGGATGCAGCCCATGCTACCTTTTGTTTCTTTCCATTAAAATCCCCCTCGTGTCATCTCATACAATACATTACTCTGCAACATGGTTTTCAACCGAGATTCTCATATAGCTTGGTTAAAATGTTATTTAGTAAAAGAAGGTAATGTGTCCTAGGCCTTCTGCCTCAAAGAAATATAAGAAAGCTTTTCTGCTTCCACTTAAGAAAGTTATTGCCTGCTGATTCTAGAGGTACACCAGTGCGAGCAATTTATGTGACACTGTGGAGGGAAATGTCACTCTTTAAAGCATATTTTTCTGCTCTCGTATCTTACAGTGTTGTGCTGCAGTCACAGCTGATAATGCATATGTCTAAAACCTTGGGAGAAATTGGTTGTAAATTGGATGATCTGGTGAAGCTGTTCCTTGTAAATGTCATGATTATATAGAAACCTGTCAATCATTAGGTGCTGGGATTACATCAAATGTAAGTAAGTGTTCTAAATGTGCTTTATGCACTTCATGTAGAAATGTTAAAACTCCTGAAGAAGTTTTGTTCTACATGAAAATGTTTGATTCCTGTGCATTAATGCCCAAACCCATGCTTTGTGACCTTAAATGGCTCCAAAGAAGGGAAGGCTTTAAGTATAAATAATTTATGAATCTTTTTAATACTATTCTGGTATTTTTTTTAATGAAAAAGCTGTAACTCTTCAGTGTGTTTTGTTCCAAAATGAACTTCTCAAAGGCCTATGATGAGATGGATTCAGTGTCACTTATGCTTCTGGAAGCCTGTCAGCAGTTTGTTGCTGGGTTTCTTTTTCCCCATGCTGCTCTAGAGCAGGTAAAAATGCACTTCAGCAGAAGAGACTAGAAAGCAGCGTGGGTGGCTGGTGTGGATTTGCTGCAAGCATTCGTATCATTTACAGCTTCAGCACTGTCATTTTTCAGTGGTTGTATGTAGAATCTTCTTTTTGGTGAGGTTGCTTCAGGAATCCTTGTGCTGCTAGGCTTTGCGTTTGGTGATAGGGATTCTGACTAACATAAAGTTTGGAGAGCAGATTTTTTTCTTTAATTATTGTTTATAGAGACAAAGTCATTTCTCAAAATTCCTTGACTTGCACTATAAATACCAGTTACAGTAGAGAATTGCTTTAGTAGAGCTGTTCCAGCTTTCTTTGCTTCCAGTTAGCTTGTTTCTTCTAAGAGTATAGTTGTGCGTAAATGATGTTGAAATGATATACAGCCAGTAAAATTTCATTCCTTGTTATTGCATGTACTACTACGTTTGAAATACTGAAGGAAAGAAAAAAACATGTGATCACAGAACATGGGGCAGTTGGAATGGAATAGATTAGTTGCAAGAGCTAAGAGGCGTTTATTGAAATCTCTTTTGAGCTTCACTTAACTGCAGGATTTTCTAGTGCATGTTCTGCCTCCGTGCCTACAATTCTTTGAAAGCATACTTAGAAAACAGAAGTTTTTAATTGTCATCTCGTTGGCCTAAGATTCTAGGTGGGTTCATTTCCTTTGTAGGGGTGTGAGCAGCTTCTGAAATCTTACAGCTATTGAATGTATCCAAGGCTTGGAAGTAAGTTAATTGTGACTATAAACAGCTTTTACTTTTTAGAACACTAAACTTTTATCCACAGTAAAAGAATAAATTTAGTCTGGTTTTGGCCAAGTTTATCTCCCTTTATGTATTTCCTGTTATTCTGAAGGGTGAAAAGGTTCTCGTGTGGAACTATCCTAGGGAACTAAACCTGCCTTGGAGATCTGCCATGTCCTTATTTCTTCAGAAAGTCGGTGAAACATAATTGCTTTTTTTCTTTCATTTTTGCAGTACCCCCTTCTAAGGGCCTGGTGGGGCAGTGGGAAACATTAGACTTTTTAATTTCTCTTTGTTTTCATTGTGTTTGTTGATATCTTCCATTTCTTTCTGTATTACTGAAAAGCTGAAGAATTAAATAAGTACAGGTGGGGCTGAGGTAGGAGTGAAATAGGTGCATTGGGTTTTTTTTCCTGTAAAAAGTTGATTATAAAATTTCAAACCTGTGCATTTCATCACAGCTGAGTGTCCTTAGGTCTCTTCCCCACTTCCCTCACCTGGGCATAAAATCTAGAATGGTTGTGTGTGGGACAGCATAAATGCTTTGTCTAGAAGTGTGTGTTGCATCTTTTATTGGAGCTGCTTACTATGTAGTTTGGTGTGGGCTTGAGCTCTTGTCGTGTCAGTGCAATACCAAAGTACAGTAAATGACCAGGGTTAGTTAAAGCCATTTTGTTCTTGTTATTTTGTTAAGGTACCCATCCATGTCTTTAAGTGTGTTTTTAAATGTCTAAATGCTTGGAAAAGCCTTCTCAGAAACTCAGTCAAAGGTGGGAAAAGATAGCCTTAATTAAATGTAGGAATCTAAGGGAACCAGAGTAAAGGTTCATAGACCTTCATGTTACCCTTTTTTCACTTATGTGCACATTTGGTGTTTCAGGGTCCATTAGGTGTTTTAATTCACCGCAGTTTATCAAAAGTTGAGAGACAATGTTGTTTGGCAGTTCTGTAGCAAGAAAGGAAGCATCTTTTGTTATTGACATCCTTTCTCTTAGCTCTGCTCTTGCTTTTTGCCAGCTGCTTATTGTCTATACTTGCTTATTTAGTATTCACAAGAGATTTTACAAGTTCTTATCAGCTCTTTGCCACAGGACATCATTTCCTCTTGTCATCGTTACTCCTTTATTTGGGAGGGGGGATGGTGTGTGAAGGGTTTACAGGAGAGCCGGTGAGTGGCCAAAACACCATTCATGAATCTGCTTGGGGTGCACAGCTTTGTTTTGTTTCTTCTCTCCTTTCTAAGGCAGTTCATAGCAAAGGTCGCATATCCAGTGCTTGCTCTGCCGTGCTCCCCCCTGCTCTTTTCTGGGGAAAGGAAAACAATTTTTTTTTTTTTTTTTTTTTTTTTGCCAAAGGCTAAAAATATCCAGTGCTTCAAATATTCTTCTTAGAAGATATAAGGAAGTGCAGCATAAAAATAGCCATAGCTGAAAAGATTGGCTGCATTTCTGAATGGCTCATAAGGGATTGATTTGGGGGACTTCATGCTCTTTAAAAATGATGGAGTATCTAATTTGAGCTCAAGTATTTGAGCTGTATTGTTTTCTTCTTTTCAGAAATAAAGATCTATTTGTAAGGCTGATTGCTTCTCTGAAGCAACGTCTGTGGAACCTGCTGCTTCCACCATGACTTGTGCTTGTTTCTGATAGCAGCTTTGTATCTTCAGGTGAAGCACTGTGATATAAGACAAATCTTAAAGCATATTTCCCAAGTTTGTTTTCAGCTCCTTCCGGAGTTTCCTTCTGAAGAATTGTTTGGACAGTAATGTTGACAGAATCCACACTGTCCCTTTGATTCTCTGAATGTCTCTTTTCTCACCTATTAGAGATGAATAGATGGGAACTCTGGTAATGTTTTCCTATATTCAGCTTTAGGCAGAGATTCTAAGGTTAGGAGGTTAGTTACGACAATTAGAATTGAAATGAGCGTTCTTTTAATATTATCTTTTTTTTTGTTTTACCTTATTATTTACTTGTTTACTAATTGCTTGTTTACTCATCTTCTTGATAGAGCTAAGTTGGAAGAATTGATTGTTATTTTTGATGTGAAGACTTCATCACTGACGTCTGTATGTTTATTTGTCAGCATCCAAGAAGTAATACAGCTCATCAGTGGCAATAACTGCTTTTGGTATACACTGACATTTATTTGAAAACAAGAACTAACAAAAAAAGACAGGCAAAACCCAACAAATCTTTTGAAGACGTGTGTCAAATGACGTCAATGGCCAGTTTGTTCTCCTTTACTAGCCCAGCTGTAAAGCGTCTGTTGGGCTGGAAACAAGGAGATGAAGAGGAAAAATGGGCAGAAAAAGCTGTTGATGCTTTGGTAAAAAAGCTGAAAAAGAAAAAAGGTGCTATGGAAGAACTGGAGAAAGCTTTGAGCAGTCCAGGACAGCCCAGCAAGTGCGTTACCATCCCTCGTTCTTTAGATGGACGACTTCAGGTTTCTCACAGAAAAGGCCTTCCCCATGTAATTTACTGTCGTGTCTGGCGTTGGCCTGATCTACAAAGCCATCATGAGCTGAAGCCATTGGATATTTGTGAATTTCCTTTTGGATCTAAACAGAAGGAAGTCTGCATCAATCCTTACCACTATAAGAGGGTGGAGAGCCCAGGTATGTTTGAGCGTGGCTGTCAAAAACCAAATAAAATCTCCAGGAGTGCCGTGTTCTTTGCATCAGTACTATATGATTAACTAAACTTGGTGTATGAGGAGGTTTGAAAGAATAATGTGTTCAAAAGTGATTTTTTTCTTCTGAGGTTATGGTGAGACATTGTCCCTTCCATACCAGCTGTTTTTCCTTATGGTAAAACATGGCTTTCCCACAGATCTTTAAAGACTGCTACCTGTGAAGTTAGTGGTAAAGTCCTCATTTGCAATAAAGAAGGAAGACAGTAATCAGAAGTCTCTGCATCTCTGTTGCAACTGACTCTTGTCTGCAAGTGCTTTAGCGCAGCACTTGAATTCTAGACTTCAGTACTCCTGAATTTAATGGTTGAAATCCCAACTTAACAATACTTATCTATTATATTCTATTTTTTTTTGCCTTCAATTAAAATGTCTAGATGTAGCTATGTAGTTTGACTAGTAATATTGGCTGAATTTCCATCTCTACTGCTTTTGTAATACGCAGAGTGGATTTTACACTTATAAACCAGTAGTTTGTTATGCATTACATGTGAACTGTTTTTTTTTTTTTAATTTAAAAAGTTGCTTTCAATTGCATGAAATATAAGTGTATTTCTACTCTGTTTTCCTGCAAGACTGAAGTGTTAGCCCTTCATAAAGTGTAACTTTAAACTAAGTGAAGGAGAGAGAGGGGTTGGTGGTACAACAGATGAATCCTTTTCTCCATGCGCATTGGTATTGAAATTTTCATGGTGAGCAAAATTGCACGTTGTTTATATCTTTTTCCTTCTATCTAAGTTAAGTTTATCTGTTCTTGTTTGTTTTTTTGTTCCAGTTCTACCTCCAGTGTTAGTGCCTAGACACAGTGAATTCAATCCACAGCACAGTCTACTAGTTCAGTTCAGGAACCTAAGCCACAATGAACCACATATGCCACATAATGCGACGTTTCCAGATTCCTTCCAGCAACCCAACAGCACTCCATTTTCCATTTCACCAAACAGTCCCTATCCACCTTCTCCAGCCAGCAGCACTTACCCAAGCTCCCCAGCTAGCTCTGGACCATCTAGTCCATTTCAGCTACCTGGTAAGTACAGCCTAAATGTGAACTCAATTGAGAAATTTTATAGCAGTACTAAGCTGCTGTGATACTTACAATAAATTGCTTGCTTTGCATTTTAAGGAATTTTAATCCTAGTTTTGCTGGTCAGAGTTAAATGTTATTGTTTTATCTTTCCAAACGTTCTTTGTCATGTATACTGTAGTAGTAAATTATTTTGCACAGCTTCAATGTAAGATAATTGATGTGTGCTTTAGAAGAACATTTAGCAATGAAAGAAAGCAGATGGAACAGTCAAAGCAGAAAGTTTATTAATATCCTTCTCTGGAGAATACCTAAATATAGTATTTAACTGAAATAAAAAATAATTCTCAATAGAAGAAACTTAAAAACTTTGAAAATAATGGTGGGTGGGAACTAAATGGAAAGAACAAAGGAAAGAAGGTCTTGAAACTGCCTGGTTATTGCTGTGATTTATAGAGCTGAGAAAGTAAAGGATTAAAGAATTCATTTTTCCAGGAGCTCAGAGGCCTTATTAGTGTCCATTCTACATGGTGTCCCTCCTCTTATTGTGTGCAGGTTCCTGCAGACCGAGTGTTTTAACCTCTCTTGTTGAAGGCTGTTTTAATGTTTAAACTCAACTGTAAAGTGCAGAAAGAAATAGTCTACGTTGTTGAGGTTTATTCAGTCTTTTTTTTCTCTTGTGCATAGCTGATACTCCACCTCCTGCATATATGCCCCCTGATGATCAAATGGGGCAGGATAACTCTCAGTCTATGGACACAAGCAATACAATGATCCCTCAAATCATGCCAAATATATCTACCAGAGGTAAGTTGTATAGCATGATGTTTCTTAGTACTCATAACCAAATTGAATGTATAACTTGAAATGGTACAGTAAATCTGTGCTGATAAATTGAAGTAGTCCAATAAAAATAATGGATTTGCAACAGCAAGAACTAAGAAGCAAAAGTTGCCGTGCTCATCTGCCTCTTTTAAAGCCTCAGATGTGTAGTGTGGCTTACTATAAGTTGAACTTTTTCATTTGCTTTTACCTGCTGTCAGAATTGTATATGCACAAAGGCTCTGAAAATTGTGTCCCAAAATACCAATAATAAAAAAAAAAATTGAAAATGAAAATGTGGACAGAAGAATCATGTGTCACCTGATATCACAATCATCTGAATCTTTTGTGTAGGATTTTTTTTTTTTGCTTAATATCTCCCTTAAAACAGGATAACAAAATCAATGGTCTAGCTGAAATGTGTGAAAGTAAGTTAAAAACATTAAGATTGTTCTTGCCCATCATAAATATTGACTACATTGTTACTTACCTGTTGGTATTTTGAAATGTTTACAGTTTTAGATGTAATGTGTTAAATTTTATGTAAACTAACGTTTCCATTTTGCTTATTTTCAGATGTTCAGCCTGTTGCCTATGAAGAACCCAAACACTGGTGTTCGATTGTGTATTATGAATTGAACAATCGTGTTGGAGAGGCCTTTCATGCATCTTCTACAAGTGTCTTAGTAGATGGGTTTACAGATCCCTCCAATAATAAAAACAGGTTCTGCTTAGGTTTGCTCTCAAATGTTAATCGCAACTCAACCATTGAGAACACTAGACGACATATTGGGAAAGGTGAAGTTTCATTCTGTTTTGTACACTTACAAAGTTAATTCTTGTTTTTACTGTTATTGCTTTGATTTATGAGTAGTCATTGCAGCGTAGGGTAGTGCAGAGATATTGAAGTAGTTTGTGATTTATCTTCTTCTCTAATACCTGAAGATATTTTTTTTTCTATCTAGATTGATTTTAATCAACCTAGGAGTTGCATATGTTTTTTCTTTAGCAGTAATGTAAGAAAGTACTCATATTTACAAACTGTTGTAGGGGCTTTTTTGTTACAGTCCGTGATATTTTATATGTAGAAAGTTTTATTTTAGCACAACAAACACACGGCACTTCTGAAATTCTACATCTTCTGCTTAAATACCTCATGCTGCTTTAGAATGTATCAGAGTGGTGGTTCTTCTGTTCATGGAGCATATTACACTGCTGTCTGCAGTATGTTAATATCTTGCATAAGTTGGCAGTGAGACTTTGAAGTGCTAATGTAAAACTGCAAGGGCTCATTTGTCTGAGTGAATCCATGGGTGTGTACGTGTGTGGGAGGGATTCCTGGAGACAGCAGGTTGTGCAGGATCTTCTAGTTTTCCCTTAACGTTTGGCTGATAGCACATAGAGATGCACAGTGTTCATCTTTGATGGAATGTGCTTGAATTATCTTAAAATGCAGTGCTCCTTTTCTGAGTACCTCCTTTATCATAATTAACTAACAAATTCCTTGAGAAGAAAATCTGCTTTCTCTTGCACATGAGACATTTTTTAGGACATAAAATCATTGTTATGTTTGAAATCCTGTTTTCTTGATGCAACTCACTATTACTGACACTGCTGAACTTCAAGGCTTATAATGTCTCTTATAAGGCTTTTAGTTAGAAATTACTATAAACATGGCAAAAAATTACGGTTGTTCTGGAGACCACCAAGTACCTATTAATATTTGTTAGAATATTAAAATAGATGCAGTTCCATTGTCTGAGAAAAGGAAATAGTATCAAGTGAGAACAGCAGACTTTTAGGAGGTGAATGGAGGTAGGGGAAAGTCTTTGTGAGGTTCTTTTGGTTTGAGTTACTGCTGTGGCTGGTACTAGTGGAGAAATGTTACGTATCCACTGGAGAAGATAATAAATCTTACATCTTAGAAAATTAGATCCAAAATCATGTGGAGTAGTATTGATCACAAGGAAATCTGAAGCTTTAAAATGTCTGTGTGTTTAGTACTAGTTATTAAACTAAAACTTTGCTTTACAGTAGCAATTCTGAGTACAATTAAGATGTTTTGGTATACAATATTATTTGTTTATGGCTTTTGTTTGGAGAATCTTGTGATTTTTTTGCTGCCTGAAAGCTACCTGCTAATTTCTCAGCTTTTTCTGCAGAAGTATTGCATTGCAGGAGAAAATGACTTCTAATTGTGCATTGGATTATTTTTGAATTACCAGTGTTCATCTCAGGCTGTTAGATATCTTGCTTCTTTTTAGCTCCCTCAGTAGGCTTATACCCAAAAGAATTTAGCAGCAGGTGGTAGTTGCCCTTGTCTCTTTAAATAAACAGGATTGTGTAGTGAAAATGTGTTTTTTCACATCCCAGATTTTCTGCCAGCTGCTTATAGTAGGTCAAGCCAATGGTTCCTCTACGTGAACTTCATCTCACCTTAGTCCCAAATGGATCTAGCAATGTTCACAACAGTTGTTACTGTCTGAAAGATCAGCTGGCATCTGTTGACTTGCTAGAGTCTCATATGGCAAACCATGGAGCAGTCAGCAGGGCATTTCAGTAAGCATACCAAAGCGAGTCACTTCCCAGGTGTGTGTCTGTGACGGGTAGAATAAAGGGAGGAGGTCTGGTAGAAAGAAGGCAGGAACCTCAACTGAAGTAATAGTGAGAATCTGTATTTGAACACTGAAGGGATCAGTCAGTGGTTTTTGTGTGTGTTGAATAAGACATAGTGCTGTAGTATGCCATTCATAACAGAGAAGGAGGAAAACATTTATATGCATAGCTGAATGCAGACAGTTGTGACAAATCTAGGGTCTCCCTTGATTTTTAAGTTCTATAAAACCTGATATTGGTTAAGTTGTCCAGATAGTTGGACTTGCATCTCTTTTTGCTTGATAAAACATGCCAAAAAAGCGAGCAGGCCGCAGATACACTTTCACATTTGTGTCTAACCCTGCTCCTGAGAATTTCATTGGAATTCCCACAGGCAGAAGTTACCAGTTTATAAAACCGCATTTTTAAAATCTGCCTGAGTTCTCTAGGAAACTGGCTTGGAATAACTGTTGATGTGTGGAAGTAGGATTTTTTTTTTCTCTTCTGTAATTGACGAGAGAAGGACATCTAGTGGTTGATGTGTAATGAAGCTTGTATTTTGAAATGAGAAACTATGTTATCCTATGGGCATAAGACAAAACAGCTTTTCTGAAAAGCTCTTGAGACAGAATGAGTTGTCTCTGATTTCAAGGGGATTGTATTAAGTACTGTATTTTTGGAGGAAAAAAAAAATAATGCTTTTCTCAAACTTTGTTTTCAAGGAGTTCATCTCTACTATGTTGGTGGGGAAGTCTATGCTGAATGTTTAAGTGACAGCAGCATATTTGTACAGAGCAGGAACTGCAACTACCACCACGGCTTTCATCCAACAACTGTATGCAAGATTCCTAGTGGATGCAGCCTGAAAATCTTTAACAATCAGGAATTTGCTCAGCTTTTAGCTCAGTCTGTCAACCATGGATTTGAAGCAGTGTATGAGCTCACCAAAATGTGCACCATTCGAATGAGTTTTGTAAAGGTAAACAAATTATTTTGAGAGACATTTAAGCTTACTGTGGATTTGAGTAGTCAGCAAACTGTGCCAATGTAACAAAGCTATTTTGACCTCATGAGTCTTTTCAATTTTAAATACATTGGAAAGGTTAATTAGGGAAAGGGAAATCGATGCAAGATAAGCACAGCTTGTCTTGTTAACTGTTGCCTGTATTTACTTCAGTATTCAGGACATGATTTTAGTCATTGTAGTTACTGTAAAATTACAAAGGGAAGTGTGGACTTGTGCATTAAAGTTGAATGAGCAAAGCTAGCTAAGTACACGACCTCTAAAAAAACAGTGTGGGTAAAGAGGAACGTAAGTGATTGCAGAACAGATATTCAAACTTCAGACACTTCATATAAATAAAGATACATAACTGCATTTTTAACATGGAGAAAATACCCTGTTTAACAGGACAGTTTGACATTACAGATTTATTCTCACAGTAGTGTTTCCTCAAAATTGGCTGCCAGTTTCAGATTTAGCTTGAATTCAGGCTTGTGCCATCCAGATTTTTTGTCTGTTGGTTTTCTTCATCTTGTCCAAAAAGAAAGCTTGATATTATGTGTTCAGAGTTAAAATGAAGTGCACTGAGAAGTCTTTGTACCACAGATATAAATAGACTTGTTGAAGTCAGTACAAATCACTAGATCTTGCCTCAGGGTACCCCAGCTGTTGAATATTAAGTATACAATGAGCTGCTTTTCTGAAACTGTTGAAATTTTATCTTGCCAATTGTGATAAATACTGTTCAGATGGAGTGTGTGGAGGAAGAAGCAGAAAAGAACTGTAACTAAATTGAGGAATCTCTTTAGAGTCAGCAGTCTGCTCTCCAAAGGAACTTGGATGGTCATGCTGGGCCTCTAGCAGGGAGGACTTGATTGAGGCTTCTGAGTGCAGCCTCCCTGCTACTCCTTTCTGACCTGCTGATTTTTGCTTTCTTGAGATGATAAGAATTGTTGTTAGATTTTGAGTTAACTTCAGATAAATTTCTTAGGTGATGACTTTCTGCTAGTTGTTAGTTATTTCTAAATGCAAGCACATTCTCTTGATTGATAACATGGTGTTCATTTTTTTTGTAGGGGTGGGGAGCTGAATATCACCGACAAGATGTCACGAGCACCCCGTGCTGGATAGAGATTCATCTTCATGGGCCCCTCCAGTGGCTGGATAAAGTACTTACACAAATGGGTTCTCCTCTTAATCCCATTTCATCTGTTTCATAGTGCTGAAATTCCATCTTCAGCCTTATTTTTAGTGAACTTATTCTAATTCTAGAGAAACTTCCAACGTGGATACTGTGAGCTATATGGAGAATGGATCTTATGGTTTTACTTTCTTTTTTTTAAAAATCCCTTTGTGACCAATTCCATTGTGTATAGCTGAGCAGTTTTACATTTCAATTTGTTCTTGTGATGCTTAAGTGACAGTTGAGCCCTAAGGGAAAAAAAAAAATATCTATTGGAAAAATTCAGAACACTTTTCCCCTCCTTGGAGTAGAACTTAAACAGGCATATGTCTTAACTGGAAATTAATTTTTGTCCTGCAGGGACAGAATGATGAAGACTGACTTCAGAAAATAAATACATATCATAGTTTGGGTTTTTTTTAATGTTTATAAAAACGTTTGAACATGTGCAGCTCCAGCTTGCAAGCTGTATTTTTAGTGTAGTTGCTTAACAAATTAAGTTTGACATCTGTCATAAAGAAAATTAGGCTTTATTATGGCTAATTTGCCTAATTGAACAATGTGACTTTTTTTAAAATGTACACATGAAATATACTTTTTACAAATATCGGAGTGGTGTAAAAACACTTTGTCTATTGGAAAATGCTGTCATAAACACATTGTATATGAATGCAGAATAGCAGTTCTTAGTCTTTTCCCACTTCAGTTTTGTACTATTGCTTTTTAATCACCATTTTAAATAGTAACTGATACAAGGTAAACATCTTGCACGTTTCTGGAGTAGTAATTTTTGTATTTCTTTGACTTACACTCATGCCATTTGGATGTGATTGCCAAGGCCTATTTCTTTTTAGGTACCCTTCTCTATTTTAACATAAACACTAGTATTTGTAAATGGCAGTGCCTTGCTACTTTTTCGAAGGAGTAAGTTTTGGTTTTTTTTTTTTCTTTTTGGTGTTTTAGCTGTTTATTTTGCCTGTCTGGAATTGATCTGTGTTAAGCCTTTTAATCTCTCAGTAGACATTATGCAGTATTAGTGATTACACTGTATTTAATTCACTTTCAGTATGAGTTTGAGTCTCTTTGAAGACTGCGAGTGGCTTAGCAAATTAGTAAATGAATGCAGAAGCTCTTACTTCCAGATCATGTAATTTAATACAGGCCTGTTGTTAATGACCAAAAGTAATCACTTCTTTTGTAGACTGCGTGAAACAGTGATTTTTGAGCCTGTTCTTAGCAACAGGTGTTCGGTCAGAATACTTGTAATCGGCAGCTTTATGGAAATCAAGGACTGCGTTAGTATGAGATTTATCTTTTTGTAAGGAATTATGTTGCCTCTGCTGTTGTATTACTCAAACACTGTACTAAACACTAAAAGAAATCAGCTAAGTAACATATGCGTAGTTTTTTCCCTTTAAAAATAAAAATAAAATTGATTGAAGGAACATTCTAAGAGAATTAGAAGTGAATTATACAAAATCCATTTGCATGCAGAAAATTATTATTAATTTTAACTCCTCCTTTTTCCTGGATATTTTTTCAGGACAGGGTGCAGTGTCTGGGGGAGAGACTGAAATCTCTAAAATGCAGACACTTATTAAAAGATGTGTTGCAGTTAACTACTGCAATCCTGAGACATTGATTGCTTACACAACTTCTTTCGTCTTCTATTGAATGACAGTTTCTGCTCAAATGTGGAAATCGTGCATTATATGGTACCTGAGTAAGAGATCATCTTAAAGGAAAAGAATTGTTTACGTGTCATTAAAATGTTTCTTATGAAATGCCTTAAAGGAATAAAGATAAACTGTAACACTTCTGCAGAACCCTCACGTTCTCTTGTACAGGTATTTCTGTAGTACTTGGTGATTTTATTGTTGGTTTTTTTTGTTGTTCTTGTTGTTTTTTTGTTGTTTTTTTTTTTTAAAGCAGTTTCTTCAGTGTGTGTTAAAGCGAATGTGCATCTTTAGGAGAAGGGAGAAAAACAATATTTGCCACTCGCTTCTGGGGTCTTCTCTTTCATTCTTCGAAACAGCAACCCTGTTGACTGAATAAGATGCAAAGTCATTTGGCCACAGGATCAGGCTTCCCATTTTCCTCTCCCCGGGCCCGACTTCTATCAAGTTGCTGAACATGTATATTTGACACTACAGATATTTTTCTTGACGAGCTTTTAAAATGAATGTCTTGGCACATTGGATCAAAGAAAGATCTCAGTTGTAGGTACAAGCTTCTGCTTTATCCAAAATGTTTTTCACCCAGCTTCACCTCCGTTCACTTGTTTGGATGCGGCTGACTAAAGGACTGAAGAGCGGGTGCTGGAAGTAGGTGTTTGCAAGTCAGAGCTGCTGTATTGTGGTTAGATTGGCTACCCATGCAATGAACCCGTAATTTCTGCAATACTCTCTAGCTAACCCACTTCTGATGCTGTTATTAAGTATTAAAGTACTCTGGCATTTCTGTGCTTGTGTACATATTCTTGATCTGTAATATATGCAGTGCTGAGGTTATCCTTGCGGCTGCTGATTTTGCCAGGACAGGCTTGCAGGAGCAGACCAAGTAAACGATTTGCCTGTGCTCTGCTTTTCTGTTCTTTTTAAGTAGGACTTATTTTTGAGAGCTTCTTAGTTGATGGGCCTACTGGTTCACGGCTTTCCTAATCACATTTGGTTTATCTGTGCTGCCGATAGAAAGGTCAGATATCGCTGCATGGATGAGTTGGATGAGAACCGTTTGACACTAATTACGTTTTAAGTGTAGTGATAACAGAGATCGCTGCTTCTTTTGCAGCATACTTGTGTGTAAGTCACTTTATCTAGATGGAGGGATGGAGAAATGAAATCAGCCAGTAGTGTGGTAGGGGAAGATGAAGCATTATATATAGCCCAGCTTAGACTGAATGTTACTCTTCAGCAAAAACTGTTTTGGCTTTTATAAGTGTAAGTATTTTCTTCTTTTAAGGCCTATTTCTACTTACAATCAAACACAGCACTAATTAACAGCTTTGACAATACCAGCAAGGAGCCTGGAACAGGCATACACTGAAGTTCTTTCTGGGTTTTCTTTCATAGTCACTAAGATAAGATCTTATCTTGGATATTCCTCCTCTGTGGGCATCAGTCTTGCTGGCAGTCAGACCAGCGCCTTGTGGAAGTATTACATTCATTTAATTACATTATACATGAAATAGTTACTCACAGAGGGCTGACGTTGGTTTATCGTATCTATAGGACCAAAATAAAACTTCTAGTATGGCTGACTGATGAGAGACAATTAACAAAACATCCCATTAACTGAAACAGTGACAGAATAGCCTACGCATTGATTCTGTGTAGAGCTGTTTAAAATACTGGAATTCTTTCATTTTTTGCATGAAGCTATGGCTTTTTTCCCCACAGTATTACAGTGTGTAAGTTGTCAACTGAGCAGATACTCTTACAGTGTATGTCTAGACAGACACTGAAATATGTCAAGCTTTTCCTTTAGTTTGAAATGTTTTGGGTTTTTTTGTATATTGTTTTAGTTATCCAAAGTACTGCTAGTGATGGTCTTAAAGAAAACAGCAAAACAGTTTCTAAACATTTTGCTTCAGAAGACAAATGTGACTTTTTTTTTTGTGGTTGTGAAGTTGCTGTTTAGGAAGGAAACCCATTCTGAATTCAAATCAATAGACCAAACCATCAGATTACAACGTAAACTTGCTTTATTGTGCTGCTCCATAAGCCTGCTTCTGTGTTTGTTGCAAGCATAACCTTTATGCTTTTGTTTACATTGTAGGAAACACAGTTCTAGTGATGAGGTTTTTCATTTAACTCTAAACATCTTTTTATTTTGTTAATTTTAAAATTACTAGGTTTTGCTATGTTATGTTTTTAAAGATTTTTTTTTGCATTCTGCTGCTCGTATTTCAATAAACATACAAAAAAAAGAACAGATTTTTTTTCTGATTTCCTTCATCTCTACCTCATTATGTGTTGAAATACTTATTTACAGGTATTGATTTATGTTGAGTTCTTGTAACTCTCTAGCAGAGTTTTCTCCTACAGATTTGCAGCTAATGGTTACATCTCTGTGAGTAGCTAGCTGAAATAACCCATGAAATTGTTCTTCGCTCTGTTTTGGTGTGGAGGATTATGGGGAGGAGGGGGTTAATATTTTTTTTATTTTAAAAACAGAAAAGCTTTGGGCAAATCCCAGCTCATGTAGCCACCTCAGTTTGCATTGTGTGTTAAATGAGTCAGAGGCTGCTTCTGTTCACTACATACAGAGACAAATGCAAATAGCTAGCTGACTTTTAAAGCAGTAAGATGTTGGGTGTCATATGCTGTACCAAGAGAAACGTGCCTGCCTTGCCTAGAGTGCTCTGCCCTGGTGAGCCAACGGCCGTGCCTTCCCTGACATCTTCCCAAGAAATTCTGCTTACCTAGAAGAACTGTTGCAAAGAAACGACTTTTGTTGTAGGTATTCGAGGTGCATTAGTGCTGTCTGCTGATCCATCTGGCGGGACGTTGGTCATAAAGAACATCTCTGAAGTTTTATACGGAAGCCAAGTAACGTGGAATCAATGAATTTTCTTTAGGGAGCTCACTGTTTTAATTACATACTTACTGTCTTGAGGGAGATCACGCGGCAAGTGCGGGACAACCGGGGGATCAGGCCTAGCCAGCATGGGTTCATGAAGGGTAGGTCCTGCTTGACCAACCTGATCTCCTTCTGTGATCTAGTGACCCGCCTGGTGGATGAGGGAAAGGCTGTTGATGTAGTCTACCTAGACTTCAGCAAGGCCTTTGACACTGTCTCCCACAGTATTCTCCTGCAGAAGCTGGCAGCCCGTGGCTTGGACAGGTACACTCTTGGCTGGGTAAGGAACTGGCTGGAGAGCCGGGCCCAGAGAGTGGTGGTCAATGGAGCTAAATGCAGCTGGCGACCGGTCACGAGTGGTGTTTCCCAGGGGTCGGTGCTGGGGCCTGTCTTTTTCAATATTTTTATTGATGACCTGGATGAGGGCATTGAGTGCACCCTCAGTAAGTTTGCAGATGACACCAAGCTGGCTGGAAGTGTGGATCTGCCTGGGGGTAGCGAGGCCCTACAGAGGGATGTGGACAGGCTGGATAGCTGGGCTGAAGCCAATGGGATGAGATTCAACAAGGCCAAAAGCTGGGTCCTGCACTTTGGCCACAGCAACCCCAGGCAATGCTACAGGCTTGGGGCGGAGTGGCTAGAAGATTGTGTAGAGGAAATGGACCTGGGGGTGTTGGTTGACGCTCAGCTAAACATGAGCCAGCAGTGTGCCTGGGTGGCCAAGAAGGCCAGTGGCATCCTGGCTTGTATCAGAAGTAGTGTGACCAGCAGGAGCAGGGAAGTAATTGTTCCCCTGTACTCAGCTCTGGTGAGGCCACACCTTGAGTTCTTTGTCCAGTTCTGGGCCCCTCACTGCAAGAAAGACATTGAGGCCCTGGAGCGTGTTCAAAGAAGGGCAACAAAGCTGGTGAGGGGTCTGGAGCACAGGCCTTATGAGGAGCGGCTGAGGGAGCTGGGATTGTTCAGTCTGGAGAAGAGGAGGCTCAGGGGAGACCTCATTGCTCTCTATAACTACCTGAAGGGAGGTTGTAGCGAGCTGGGGGTTGGCCTCTTTCTCTTGTGTAACTGGTGATAGGACTAGAGGGAATGGTTTCAATCTGTGCCAGGGAAGATTCAGGCTGGATATTAGGAAATACTACTTCTCTGAAAGGGTGGTCAGGCACTGGAATGGGCTGCCCAGGGAGGTGGTGGAGTCCCCTTCCCCGGAGGTGTTCAAGGAACGTTTGGATGTTGTGCTGAGGGATATGGTTTAGCGAGAACCATTGGTGATAGGTGGATGGTTGGACTGGATGATCTTATAGGTCTTTTCCAATCTTAGTGATTCTGTGATCACTGAATTTTGCCTTTCACACTAGTGATGTGAGCTGTGGAGGGGAAAGGTGTGTGTGTGTGTTTGTGACAGATGATTGTGTGATGGAGTGAGGTGAGTTAGAGCAGAATCAGTGCTAGTTTATTCCACCTGCTGTTGTTAGAAAGCTCTGCTGTCTGTATCTGCTGTGTTTTCCAGATACTGTAGTATAGGAAAAAAAAAAAAAAAAAAAAAAAAAAAAAAAACTTGGACCACATAATGATGACACTGGCTCCAATCCTGAATTCTTAAACACTGTTAATCTTCTGACTTGCAATGCAGAGCCAGCTATCTTCTGTGCACACTAAGGCATTTGTAACAAGTCCCAAAGTACCTGTAAATTGTCAGCCACTCAGTTACATGTACATGCTTTTAGGTACTGCATCATCTTACTGCTCGATTACTATTGGCAGGAGAAGGTGTTTGTGCTGATGGGTGCTCTGCAAGTCAGCCAGCAATAGCACATTTTGGGTTGATAACATTCAACACAAATAATCATTCCCCTTTAGTTTTGGATAGCTACATATAAACTTCTAAGCAAAGAAATGTCATCCTGTGTGTTTTTATCATACAGGCGTGGCAGAGATGGTTGTCTGTAGCTCAGTGCTGTGGATTTTCACTCCAGCTGCTGGCACATGCAGTAGGAAGCAGAGGAGTAGCTTATCCGGACTGATAAAAGCAGCCTGCTCGAGCTGTGGAGAGGAGGGACAAGATTTGTGCCATCCGTCTTGCATCTGCCCCTAGGCCTCCCACTGTGCTGTGGGAACAACAGAAATCTGAAATTTGGAAAGCGATTGCTCCCCAAAGGGTGTGAGGCCATCACATAAACTACTGAAATCCACTTGGAGCACTGATGTCTTGCTTCTGCTTCCAGGTACTTAAATCAGCCATCCTTTTTTGTGGCTTTCCAGTTCCTGCACGTCATGACCGGTGCCCTTTAGGCTTTTGAAAACAGTGTTTTCCCTTTTCCTCCTTTTATGTTGTCCTCTTGCCAGATGAAGACAACAGCATACCTGTCCACACAGCACAGGATGCTTCTCTGCAGAAAGCCCATGTAGTGGAATTGACGATGCGCTGGGGACAATGGCATATCATGCCTTGAGTATGGGCTAGTTAGTTTCTGCAGGTAGACTGCAATATAGGACAGAAAAAAACAGGCTGCACATTTCTGTATTTAGCCGTATTTTCCTTTTAAACCATCCAGAGAGACCTCCAGAGTGCAGTGCAGAGGAGCTGCTCTCATGGTGCCTGGTAAGAAGGCAGCCTCCAGCTGATCGAGTTCTAGTAGTGCTTTTGTATTAAAAGAGGGAGCAGGCCTTAATAAAAGAAAACTTGGCCTGAGCAGCAACATAAAATACCCGTGTGAGAGACGCTTCAGCATTTTACAACTTCCAGGCAGTTTGCATCAAATTCTTCTTTGAATATATTCTCGTTAACTGCCTTATAGGGCCACATGTTCAAACGTGCTGTAAAAATACTTCTGTAAACAACATATTTTATTTTTTTTTTTTAGCTCTGAGTGCAAGCGCAAGGGAAGGTCTGGATTGCAATCCTATTAGTTCTGCTGTTCTCTGCTTCTCAAGGTATGTTTGAGGCTGCAGACTTGTTGGCTGGTAAATGCTGTTGGAGGACAACAGGGATCCAGGTGAAAGCAGAATATTCCTTCCAAAAATCAGGAGGCAAGAAATCCAGAGTCCACATAGTATGGCAGGCAGCATGCTTATTTTTGCTGTTTTTCATCTCTTCACTGCTATCTCAAACTTGTTCTCTATTGACAGATGGCCAGAAGCCAGCAGCACAACTGCCCCATGTCCTGATTTGTGGTGAGATGCTTATACCTGATGCAGTGTGTGGCTGGGCAGCTGAGCAGCTCTGCGTGGATGTCTCTGGAAGGAGCTCTAAGCCACTAGAAGTATTCCACGTAACTCAAGAAATGAAGATGGTTCCATTAAAAAACAAAACCATGTGAGAAGCACAGTATTCTTATTTATTCAGGATATTTTGATGTGCTAGCTGCAGTGTTACATAGATTTGTATGATGGAAAGACTGCTAATGGGACAGAGCAGGGGTCTGTAGGGCTGGTTTATCACTGGTCTGTCAGTCTGTATTTAATTCTTGGACTCCTTGTGTTGCTTGGCTGCTGTCAGAATGATTTTCAGAGGTGCTGTGCTGGAGGCAGCGAAGCAGAAGGCAGCAGTCAGGGTGCCCATGGACTACCAGGTGTCCATCTGCCTCCTGCTTGAGGTGGGTTTGGCAGGACAAAGCCACTGCTAAAGGAATGCTCTGAGCAGCTCTAGGGCAGGGGGCTGCTTGTGCAGTGATGGTGTCATAAAAATTCTGTGGGTCCCTTCCTGTGTACTGGCAACATAGGAGGTCTCATACAGCAGCTGGCTTGGATTGCAGTGGTCCTTGCAGGCAGCCATTCTTTGTTCTGTCCCTCTGTAGCCCTTTTCTAAGAGGAGGCAGGTTACACTCCAGTGTTGGCAGTGATATTGAGCAGCAGGTTGGTATCTTTAGAGATGGCGAGGATAAATGGTGTCTCCTCCTCTTTTTTCCCCCCATAAAACATTTTGGGGGAAAAAAAAAAAAAACAACAACAAAACAACAAACCTGACAGCTCTGTTATTCTAAGAACAGGAGTTTTCTTCTTTACAGACTTTTTCCATTCTCTTTTTGAAGTTGTACCTCTCCTATTGTAAACAATGTGGTTGTTTCGAGGTCTAAATAAGAAATGCTGTGTAATACAGTCATTCCTGTGAAATCTCATTTTCTGAAGCCTCTTAGCCCCGGAGATGGCTCTCAGCAAATGTACCAGCCTCTCAGAAGCCTCGAGCAGTGGGAGTGAGTTAGACTTCAGCTGGAATGGAGAAGTTTTAGGGATAATGCAAGACAAAATAGACCCTTTTCTGTAAGAGACGCACAGAGAATCGTGTCCTGAGACTGGAGAGATTTCAGGTCTCTGA